CACACACACACAGAGCAGACATACGCACACACACACACACACAGAACACACACACACACACACACAGGCTCTGTCGTCATCTTCACTCACCGAATTGCTCAGAAGTCGCCTTGCGGTTGTGTGGTGAATTAGTGGCGTTGGTCCGCTCTCGCCTTCTCTTCCATTTTGGAACGCGCGACAGCCAGCCTTAAGATATCGTTCCGGAACTGACCTGCCCTTGGCAATTCAGGAATCTTGTTCAGCTGGTTCCAGCTGGATTCGAACTCAGGTCTGCATTTCAACAGTTTATGGATGTACCACGCACCCTGAGCTGACGCTCTCGATGCTCTCGCCCTCTTCGTGCTGTGTGGGGGTAATCTCACCGGTAGAGGGCCCAATTTCAACGCTCAAAAAAAAAAAAAAAAAAAAAAAAAAAGCGCTCGGTGATTCTCATAATTGCACGCTCACACCGGCAGATGGCGACAGGACCCAATGGTCAGTGGGAAATCACGAACCTCGATGGTTTTACGTCCAGGTCCATTCTTTCACAAACACGAACCGCACACCGGCGGAGTTCATCGCCGCACATACGTCGCTGCATCAGTGGCAAATGTACCCAACGGGCAAAAAAAAAAAAAGAGTAGAAAGTACCCAACGGACCAGCCGCACGTGTTTCGGAGGACGGAATTCGAACTCTCGTCCGAATTTGGAAAAGAGTCTTTCAAAAGACCGAAAAAAAAAAAAAAAAAAAAAAAAGACCGAAAACGGTGTAACTGCTGAATATGAAAAGACCGAGAAGGGGAAGGGGTGTATCTGTTCTTATCGGTGCTAATTAAAGAAAGAATCGAAACGTGTATCTGTCCAGTTGCTCGATGAAGATACATTCACTGGTGTGCTGATGACGGGGTCCCAGCGAGGCCTTATTTTGGCCACGCGCCGTTTGAACGGGGCCCCTATTATGGTCTGAGCTGTATTGGAAGGGATAATTTGTAAAATAACCCCGTAAGTTGAGGTATATGCCAAAATGCCCTTAGAAGATGTTAATATAGCTGAATGCCCCTCTGATTTTTTTTATTTTTTATTTTTGGGGGGTGTGGGGGTGAAATACTCCTGGTCTCCCTTGGACCTCTTATCTTTGCAATGGACCCCTATTGGGTACTGTCCAACTTTGCAAAATGCCCCCGTACTTGTCAAATTTTCCAAGGCACAATTGCAAAGTGCCCAGGCCCAAATGGGCGAGGTCCAGATTGCAAATTTGTACACTGGCTTGACAGGGGCCCAAGGCCCAATTGCAAAGTGCCCAGGCCCAAATGGGCGAGGTCCAGATTGCAAATTTGTACATGGGCTTGACAGGGGCATAACACAAAGAATTTAGCCCAAGGCCGGATTGCAAAGTGGCCATGCCCATTTGGGCGAGGTCCAGATTGCAAATTTGTACATGGGCTTGACAGGGGCATAACACAAAGTATTCAGCCCTAAGGGGCATTCCACTCCACCCACATCTTTCTGGGACATTTTGGCACACATCTCAACTTATCGGGGTACTTCGCAAATTATCCCCAGGCTTTCTCAATAAAACCACTACATTCTTCTCTCAAATTCTTTTTTTTGTCTTTCACTACCTACCTACCATTACTCCTAAGGTTATATAGAGGGGACACCTTTTTTTTTTTCTTTTTTCTTTTTTCCCAACACAAATCACACGGCCTCATCTATTATGGGGGGCATCATTTCGGTCGCCCTATCACTGGCAAGCATGAAAGACGATACATCAATGCGTACATCCTAAGGGCCCGCCTGTTTATTGTTTCTCCCTTCCTCAACTTATTTAACATGTTTGGACCACGTGTACTTCCTAAAGTCGTGCCCGTTAATAAGCCACAATTTTAGGAAATGTACTGACCACTACAGGAGCGCCCTAATTCATCCGACTAGAAACGTTTCTACTCTATGTTTTTCCTCAGCCACTAGCTGGGCCAAGTACTGGTGGTTTAACCTGCTTGGACCATTGCCTTGGCGAGCAGACCTGCCTATGCCTGCGAGACCCCTTTTGGTACCCTAGCCATCACATCATCCTACCCCTCTTGACAGTGCTCGAAAATCAGGTAAGCAAACCCCTACTTGTCTGTATAAAACCCTTTTATAATCACTCCCCCCCTCTCCCCCCACCTTTTGAGTCCTTCCTTTTTTGCTTTTTAGCATCTTCGCCCCCCCCCTTTGAATCCTTACTTTTTTAGCTCCCCTAGTTTCCATTGTAGTTCTATTTTTACTTCCTACTGCGTTCTTTTTGCCTGTGCGATTTCAGCTTCCATCTACGAGTTCTCATGGCTACCCTATCCTACCATACCTCACAATACTGGGGCGAGTACAATTGTGACATTCGAACCTCACGGCCTGTTCTGTCTTTTGGTCGGGGTGATAAATTGTGTGGAATATGCCTTGAAAGAACAGCCAAATGGGGTGTGCCAAGAATTTTTGGTAGTATTAAGTGTGGAGTCACAGAGCCCCCGTGCGATTCCAATTTAAGTGAGGAAGGACCATAGTCGTGTCGGAAAGAAATATCGTGTGCTAGTTTCAAACGTTTGCTTAATCCAAAAAACATCTTTGAACCTCCGTGCGCGTTAGTCGTTACTTTTTCGAACGGAAAGGTGGGGGTACGTACTTTGAATCTCGTTTTCAAATAAAATATTGGCGCCACTCATTACAACGTTCAGAATCCGACGTGGACGGCCTCAGCGGGGTCGCTCTTTCCTTGTATTCGTCTTCGCCACGTGTTCGATAGAGGAACCCCTTTTCCCAATAACGCTCGGTGCGACAATAATCGTTACACAAAGTGCTGGGCCAATGAGGCGCTACGACCGTTTACAGGATGACAATCAGTTCGTTAAAATACAATAATAAAGATTGTGGGGGGAAATGGGTATCGATAATGATAAAACCGACGCCTACGAATCTCGGACACCTTGTTTCGGGAGGGAAATGATAACACCCGTTGATCTTGTCGACGACTTCCCGCACGTCCCATGCACATACACGTGTCCTTTCCTCATTATACGGGAATGGTCGCGATGAGGATACGGGAAGCCGCCCCGCAGTCGAATCAGGACAGTCGGTCCACATGGCATAAGCAAAATTAATCACGTAAGTTCACTCAACCAGTTATTCAATCAAAGAAGTAAATAGTCGCAATGCTACATGTTTTATTGCCCAAACCTCATATACATAAATCCTCAGTTATCAAGGGACACATTAACAAAAAAAACCTAGTAAGGTCACCCGGGTTTACTCGTTTATGCGAGATTGGACTGAATTCAATAACCAGGGAAGTATCAGATCATTCTGACATCCATTAGGTAAGCAGAAGCAATGGAACGAGAGAGAGAGAGAGAGAGAGAGAGAGAGAGAGAGAGAGAGAGAGGAGAGAGAGAGAGAGAGAAAGAGAGAGACGAAAGCGTAGCTTGACCGGAAAAGGGGATTGGAAAGGGAGATAGAGAGCACTATGAGCATACAAACAACCGACTACTCGTCGTGGACTCGACTTTCAAAATCTAAAAGAAGAAGGACCGAAAATCAAGGTGCACTGACCTTTAAGCACTCAAATAATGGTCTTTGGCCATACAACCACTCATACACAGACACCCTTTTTACTCAGGTACTGACGATCCCGACTGCCACATACCAACCTCCATACCACAGCGATCGTCACTCCGCCAACTCAACCTTTGCACCAACTTGCCTTGATCCCACAGTTCGTCGCGGCCACCTGACGCACAACCTTGCATACACTGCAGTTGGCTCCTCAGGACTTCCGACTCGCTACTTGCGCATCACCTAGCCAAAACTTCGCGGAAGTGATAGAGGGGTTTTTGAACCCGCTTGCGGGTTTTATAATTGCAAAGAGGGAGATAGAAGGTGGGAGGGAATGGAGCGGAGCTAGGAGGGGGTGAATAGAGAGTTTAAGGTAATTGCCTGTGGAAAGTCATATCGATCCCCGCGAGTCTTTTGCAGCGAATGAGACTACAACGTGAGGGGAGTATCCTCCTTGCATGATGTTGTGTGACGGTTCGACTATCATGCGGGGAAGATCGGTAGGGAGTTCCTGTATGGGGATGAAGGCCGAAAGAAGGAGAGCAAGAAGAGTAGTACGGAGCGGGACCAAGATTCATACAAAAAAGGAGCGGGAGAAAAACGCGAAGGGAGAGGGTATGGAAAACAGTTACGGGTGAAGGAGAGAAGAGAAGGACGTTAACATGACATGGGTCATAACGGGAAGCGTGGAAAGCTTGCATGCATGGCACTGGCGCAAAAAAAAAAAAAACCACCGACTGCCATTCATTCTGGTTTTAAAACTACTTGCAAACTTCCTTAAGCTTCGGCTTGAGGGGTACTTACTTGGTTGATGTGATTAGGTACACCGGGTTATGGTTGTATGTTGTGTACTGACCATGCTGGGGTGGGGTTAAGTGCTCATCTCGGACCTTAACTTTCATCCCAGCTCACTTTGCCTTGTGGTAAGCATTATGATTTTCAATCAGCAGGTTGCAGATTCGATGCCTGGAGGGAGCGATTGCGATTTTCAGATATTGGATTTCGCGCTTGGAGACAATGATTAAGCAATGTGGCTTCAATGCAGCATGCTTTGAGCTCCCACGAAATTATACCCGGGTGGGTCGGCATGCAAACCCCTTTGAGCTTCGACTTGAGGGGTACTTACTTGGTTGATGTGACTGGATACACCGGGTCATGGCTGTATGTGATGTACTGACCATGCTGGGGTGGAGTTAAGTGCTCATCCCATACCTTAACTTTCATCCCAGCTCACTTTGCCTTGTGGTAAGCATTCTGATCTTCAATCAGCAGGTTGCAGGTTCAATGCATGGAGGGAGCGATTGCGATTTTCAGATATTCGCTTGGAGGCAATGATTAAGCAATGAGAATGAGTACTTTAAGATTAAGAAATTTAAAAGCAATATCAGCGCGCAGAATTGAGCAAGTGAAAATCCTACGTCTGTTTAGCTTCCTACTGGAAATTCACAATCTTCAAAGGACGAGTGCGGAAATATCTATTTGCAAGAAAGGACATGTCAGTGGAAGGAGCGCATATAATTCTTGGAGTTGGCAACTGCCAAACGGAATTCTAATGCGCTTGCCAAGGTGAGTGTAATTCCAACGTAGATGCATGGATTGCCGAAAAGAGAT